ACCGGTTGCCGTATCTCGACGGAACGAGGGGAGAAAAGGGAGGAATTTCTTTAATTTCAAAGATTAAAGAGAATATTATTTTTAAGTTCGTTACTCATTACCTCTTAAATATCTGCTTGCGGTTATTGAAAGGAGATTTTAAATAACCACTTGGGGAAAAAAAGTAAGAAAATGTGGAGAAGTTTAAAATAGGATCAAGTTGTCACACTAACCGCATGCAAAAGCTTGCATGGAGGGGGAAAATAATTAGAGTGAATGAAGTCTTGCAAAATAAAACAACGAGTGATAAATAATTTAATTTGTATCAAGACATTCTCATCCTTTTCAGAGCTAGGAAGTGTTGATATGAGTGGTTAAGGACTGCTCTAGGTCTCTTAGAAGAGCTAGGGATAGAATTATCATAAGCCGAGATTTCTCTGATGGATTCATTTGGAATCTGTGGTAACCGGTTGAAAAAATTTTCTGATTTTTTTTTAAAGAAAACCGAGAAGCGGCGGAACGTTAAGATCTTTATGCAAGACTTCGTTCCTGACAAACCAAGGTGCGTTTGCTGCTCTACGCAGTTGAATGTTTTGAAAAGTGTGCAATCTTTTCAGGTGAGTAACTGCCGCACCTGGTTAGTTTAACTATATACCAATTAATCTTTTATGAACTATGATTTGCCCGAAATATTTTTGACTGCCCTTCACTGTTTGTGTTCTTAATCCTTCGAAGGTAAAAGTCTGATTTGTCTCTTAATTTTAAACCATTGTCAGATGATGAATACTACACTGAGCTGGCACCTCGATTCCCACATCTACCCCAAAACTGACATATTTAATGTGCATTGATGGGTCTCTACGGGTCTTTTAATGGAATAAGGATTAAAACTCGTAGCTTACCTGAAACATCGCTGGCCCCTAACTCAAAGCTATTACCACCCGGCTATGGCATCCTTAATGTTTTTCTAATATTACATATAACATTAATGTGAGATCAGAATTTGTGAGTTTCATATTCATAATTGCAACTTTTCATGTCAGTACTATTTTAATATCGATTTAAAAATCCGGAACTTATTCTATTTGTGAAGAAATTTAATGTTGAAAGAGGAACCTTTAAACTGTGTTTATATATTATAACAGACGTTGAAAAATACGAAATAAATAAATACTTGCCCTCTTTCATTAATAAAACATCGATTGCCCAAAACCCGAGGATATAAATTTTGCACTTCACTACATTTGAGTCAACTAAAGGAGGGAGAGTTTCCTAGTTTTTCTTTGATTAATTTACGTAAGTCGGTTCCTGCTGACATATTTTTGAAGTTTTTTTTCTTACTTTTTCATCTAATATCGTCTTTCTCGTGAATGATGCTTAGCCATTGTCTACAATTCTTAATACAATTTTGCTCTTTAATCCCTTTGGAATCCAACTAATCCTACGAAATCTAGGTAGAAATCACATATCTTCTTTTATGTTCCTTGATTTAAAAATTTCCTCGTTCAAAAGTGTCCCATAAATTGCAGGTAAGACTTTAATGTTGCAATTTGAGTGAGTAGGACTGACAAGATACCCTATCCTTTTGTTCTGTTAACACTATTGGGTTATCATTTCTTTACGAATGTTACTTGCGTAGGAGATGCTGTATTAACACTTATTTTCAGATCATTGTATTAATTTTCATTTTTAATGCATTGTAAAAATAAAAGCCATACTGTTTGAATGAAATTCTTAACCCTGAAAGGACCTCAAAATGTTTTAAAGCTTGGAATAGGTATTTTGATGGGTAGATAATTTTCTGTATTCACAAAAGTACATTCTTCCATTTGGGCGAAAAATTTTCATGTGGTTTTGTTGAATAATCATGGAGTTTTTTATATTGTTATTGTCGCTTCATTGAATGTGATGACATGCGTTATGCATTTATGATAGTTATCAAAACTTGAGTGCAGCGACTCAACCGTGGCTTATTCACTTTTTTATAACTTTTAACGAGGAATTATCTTGTCACCATTCTAACATCTTTTGATGCCGGCTGTATTTCCATTTTGAATCTTTATTTTTTTCGTTTCGTTTTTTAAAATATAGTTGTGTGACCAAAAAAATCTTAAAAATAAATTAGCAGAATTTTTTGTATGTACAGTAACATGTTTTTTTTTTTTTGTATTAAAGAATTGTTTGTTTTTTCAAATTTCAAGATACATTTGCCTCTTAACATGTCGATCGCGCTGAACTGACAAAACTATGCACACTCGAAATAATTCGAGCGGAGTCGTATTTTATACTGTTGAAATTTTCACACTCGAATATAAGCGATCGCCGTCTGCACTCGAGACTGACTACGATCTGTCGTCGTGATTTCGTAAATTTAGGTAAAGTTCAATTTAGGTTAAATTTATTGTAAATTTAGATAAAGTCTTACGGTAAATTTAGATTACCATTACTAAAAAGTATTCCTTTATTTGCTGGACATCAGCATTTAGAACGCAAAAGTTTTGCATAAAGAAAAGGTGAAAAATTAGATTTCAAAAGTACATTAGATATATATAGTAAGACTTATACAAAATTATCATAGCTTTACAAATATAAAAAAATCTGGTAGACCAAAATCTTCAGGAATTCTACGACTAACTGTATGTCATTTTCTCTGTTTTGTTCCACCGACATCAAAAAAGAAACTCCCACAAGAAACTACACTGTGTTGTGCTAAAAGGGATAGAAAAGAAAGGAGTCGTCACTTGTGTAATAATTGCAGTGTTGGATTATGTGCAGCACCTTGCTTTCAAATATATCAGAAAAAAGAAAATTCTGAATATTTTTTTTAAAAATAAATACTGCTATTGCGATTCTTTCTGTTGAAGAAGTATGATTAAATATTTTTGCAGTGCTAAAAATGTTTTTTTCTTTCGAAACAGCTATTCGAAAAGAAAGATAATAAAAGTCAATGTACGTGTACGATTGTAATATTTGGCTCTTATATACATCGTAGATCAAAATTTAATTAAAAATTGTAATTGATTTTGTATTTTTTCATTTTCTGTATCAAACAAGGTTTTAAAATGTGTCATCATAAATAAAAAATGATTTTTTGGCTGTTTTTTTAAAAAATAAGTATATGTTAATGGGTTAAAAATCATACATCTAAAGGAAAATTTAAATCTTTGTATGCTGTTCACAAAACGAGTGATTCGAATTTTTTTTAAAGTTACAAACTTATTTGTTTCCAAAATTCCTGAATTCCGAAGCAATTTTTCGTGTGAATAGATACGTGATTCTTTGTGTTCTCCCTTCTTGTAGATACGTCTTCCAAATATGGTTCATCAATTAGATTGAAAGGAAATAGTACTGGTATGATCGATCGGATCAAATATTTCCTAATGGAATTTTACGCATCAAAAATTTTTTTTTTCTCATTCGAAACTACCTTTATGTTGTTTTCGCTCAAGTGAAATTTTTTATCTCCCATTTTTATGTGCTAAAGTAAGAATTCAGAATTGTACGCAGAAATAAAATTTGGCGAGTAAACTTCCAAGTTATAAACTAAGTTTGAATGAATATCTGAACCTAAAAAAAAGCCTGAATAAATATATGAAAATTTTTGAAACTTTGAGTTTAGAATTAGTATTATTGGTATTGGCAGTACACGCTTATAGGATTACTATCAGATGTTCTCATTTTAGTAAAATAACAGATCAGTGATTTAAGGGAACACAGAAGGGTTCAGTTGACAAAAATTGGTCAAAAGTAGAAATGAAGTGTTTTTGGCTTAAATTATTCTTGTATAAATTTCTATAATCTCACATAATTTGAAGTTCTTAATCAAGAAGCTCAGAGTTATGATAACTTTTATGTTCGTTTTTATTTATATTCAAGTGGCAAATAAAACCTTTAAACTGATTTATCTAAGAAAGAAAAATAGCTAATTTATATTTTGCTTTAAAACTCTAAGGCTTTTATTTTTCTGTTGTGCCAGATGTAAAAAATTGAAATTGCAAGATAACCAGGTATGTATATATATACAGTCGGCTCTCGATCATTCGAAGTTGGAGGGACCAATGAAAAACTTCGAATAATCAAGAGGGTAGAAAAAAAAAACTCCCAAAACACTCGAAGAGAATATTTTTTCCAACACATTTAAATTTGAAACTATGTAATAAAGCAACAATTATGCACATTAATAAAATTATTTTAAAGTAATTTTTAAAAATCACATATACCATATAAATATTATACAGAAATTAAAAGTCCTGTATTAAAAGAATAAATTCATACACAATCCTACGCACCTCTTCTTCACAATAGTGGACCATCCTTTCTGAACACATGCGAAGCAAGGCCACGTGTTAAACGAAATATATGGACGGCTGACAACAGGCGCGGTTAGTATATCGTCCACTTGAAGAAGGGAAGTAATAAAAATGTATTTTCGCCTGATGAACCGAAAAACACTAAGAAGGCGTAGCAGACAGATGGTCATTAAAGGGGCTACGTTACAGGAGAGACACGCAGACAATATAACACAAAACTTGTTAGCTCCAACCTGTTTGCCACAGGACTGTACATGATAGTGAGTGTTCGAATTGTTGAGAGTTTTATAACTTCTAATTATTGCGTGTTGTAGCCTGGAAAGTCACAGATTTTGCTTCGAATTATTGAGTGTACCCCAACGCATTGTTTACTTATTTTCGTTCGAAATATCAAGAGTTTTTCTAGGGACTGAGCATATACTCCGAATTATCGAGAGGTTCTTATTATCGAAGGTTTGAATTGTCGAGAGTCGACTATATATATATATATATATATATATATAATCAAATTTTAAATCGTTTATAAAACACTTTCTATTCATCCACACATTCAAGTTCAAATACATTTTTTAAAAACTTGTAGTGCATACACTTGATGTTAATACAATTTTTACAAATATTAATTCATTAATTAAATTATAAAATGAATAAATAATAACAAACAAAAATAATAGTCCAACAGCATATACAGAAAAGAAAATCGTTCATTGTGTCCCTTAGCACAATGGATAGCGCGTTGGAGTTCTGATTGAAAGTTCGTGGGTTCGAATTCCATGTGGGATGGCCTAATTTCTGAGAATCTGATTTCTTTTACTATACTATTTTATTATAATAATTAGATTTAATAAATGAACAAGTAGTAACAAAAAAAAATAGCCCAACACCATATATATGCCGCCCATCCGGTATAGTGGTCAGTGAAGCTGACTGCGGTGCCGTAGGGACTGGGTTCGAATCCCGAAGAAGGCATGGATGTTTGTGTTGTAATCCTTTCTTCCGTCTGTGTTGTATGCCCCCCGTGTTATACATTGCGTGGTGCACGGGGTTTATAAATGTTTTTTAAAAAAACCACCATATATAGAAAGGAAAATGGAAAATCGCTTTCTATTTTGTCACAATATTGTGATTCTGTGATATGTATCTACATATTTATATTAATTGTAACTCTTTAATAAAAAGTAACTAAAATATATAAAATTTTACTTTGTTGACCTAAGTAGGAATTGACTTAAAATTTTTTTATATTGCTTGTTTTCTACCTGTTGTGCCATTCGTACATGTAACTAAAGTTGGTATGCATTTTAGAATCAAAGCAATAATTATTTTTTAAAAAACTGGTTGAATTTAGAACTTGTACACACATTTTTCAATGTATTTTCAATAAGCATTCATTAAAAAAAAGTATTTTACGAATAACAACCGCGCTTGCAGAAAACCCATACCAATTTTTGTTGTACATAGTTTGATGTATTTGTAAATTAAATTTCATGTGTGTACGTCAATTATTGGGGGGAGGGGGTAGCAATTTAAAATCCCTTCATAAGTTTTCAAATTATTCTTTAAAAAATAAAAAGATTCGCTTTTTGTAGTATTTTGAACACGAAAACTGTTTCATGTAATATATAAATTACAAGCAAAAAAATAAATAAATAAAAATCGTTAAATCAAAGATTTTACTATAAATCGTACCATTCCCCCTTAATAGAATTAGCTTGGTTTTAAGGTGATATCTTGTTCACTACTTCTCTTTGAACATAACTTTTTATTGAAACAGAATCGAACCAATTTTTATTTTCATTATTTAGAGAATTTTTTTTAGTTAAATTACAAAGATCCGAAAGTTTTTTTCTCTTTAGTATGGAATTATGTAGGTCGGGGAAGTGGTAACATTTCTTTTGGCGTTTGAAATATCACTGCTCTTCGAATTATTAAAAATAAATGACGATGCCTGGGGTTGCGTTGGATGTCTGAAATCCGGCGGAGATTCAGAATGCGGTTAAAATTTAGCGTCGCTTTTGCAAATTAAAAAAAATATATATATACTGCGTTTTTTAGAAATACTCTTTAAGATTTTTTTTAAAAAATATGAAATGTTTGTGTAATATTGTTTATTTTTTATAGTTTTTACGATCATTATTCCTTTTGAGAAGTTTGATTGTTTTTACATTCATCATTTAGATTTTAAATCCCAAATATATGTTAAATTCTTTACCTACAGAATATTCTAAAGATAAAGATATCTCAAAAAATGCATATCATATAATAAAGTTGATATATTGAATTCATTCAGGTACGAGTTAAACATTAATTGAAATATGAGCTCACAAACCCAACTGGGTATTTTTTCGCTGATCTGATATACAAAGCAGCCGACGCATGCGATGACCTCTCTACTACGATCCCTATTGATTTTTTTGGGACATTCTGCTGTCCCGCCCTAGTATGCGACTTACGTTGAATGCATAAGATGAATACAGTGTATGACTATTTTCTGAAAATACCCAGCAACCAACCCTTGGTAATTTCCTGACGTGTTTCACTTTACGTAGTCACTCTGCTAGCCGCTTTATTGGCTTGGAATTCTAAATGCGGGGTTGTCTGACATTTTATTAAGTTACATTCAGATTCCTGTAAGTGCTGCTCTTGCATCTTTTGAGACTGAAATACAGCGCCTTTGAGAAATTAATATCTATTTAAAACTTTATTTATATTATTTGACGTGGATATATATTTTGCTTAGTAAGATTCATGTAACTAAATTCTCTCACTAGGACATTTTATCTCTGAATGCTGGAAAAGAACATGTTTCTGAACGTAAATATTTGATTTTTTGTAATTATTTACTAATACACATATTCGTGGAAAAACTCTAACTATTAGGCATAGTATTACATAGTATAGCATTTGTATTACAGGCATTTTAAGTATAAAGTAAATTTACGTAAAACATTTTTAAGCATTGAAGTGTTTAACAAAAAGTTTTTTTTACTTTATATTCTACTTATTTTACGGGAGCTTTATGAGAAATATTCATGAATGAGCGATGGACTTTATTTTATTTAAGTAAAACGGTAGTTTTATTGCTCTTCGAATTTTTATTTCCTAGAGGAATGGGAAAAAAAGCTGTTTAGCTTTGAAATTATTTGTTAAAGTATATATATATATATACAGTCGACTCTCGATAATTCAAAGTTGAAGGGACCAATAAAAATCTTCGAATTATCAACAGTGTATGTAAAAACTCCCAAAATACACGAAGAGAATTCTTTTTCTAACACATTTAAATTTGAAATTATGTAATGAAGCAACTATTGTACATATGTATAAAATTATTTTAAAGTATTTTTAAAAAGTACGTAGTATATATATACAGTATAAATATTATGCAGAAGTTAAAAGTCCTGTATTAAAAGAATACATTTATGTATAAAAAAAACAACTATTAAAATAATACATACTGTACAAAAAAATTTTTGACGGAAAAATCTGTTATCTATTTTTTGTTTTATGGCATTCAATCTAACTTCGTCAATAGATTTTTCTAGAAAAAATGAAGCTTGATAAACGTCCGGATCAACATTATTTTGAAGGGAAAAGTTGCGTAGTTTGTTTAGTGACACTTTAGCTTCTCTAAGAGTTATTGTAGTCAACTCCGATGGTCTTCAACGGGGCTACATTACAGGAGAGACAGCCAGAGATAATACAACACAAAACAAGAAAGCTCCAACCTGTTTGCTACAAGACTCTACATGACAGTGAGTGTTTGAATTATCGAGAGTTTTATAAGATCACTTCGAATTATATATATCGCAATTGTATTCTGGCCAGCCACAGATTTTACTTCGAAATATTGAGTGTACCAAAACATATTGTTTTAGTTCGAAATATCAAGACTTTTCCTAGGGGTTGAGAATATACTTCGAATTAGCGAGAGGTTCGTATTATCGAGAGGTTTGAATTAGCGAGAGTCGACTGTAATATAAAAAATGGCTTATATATATATATATATATTGCTGCTGTTAATCATAAACACTAATAAATATGTCGTCGATTGTTTTATTCTCAAGAAATAAGCATTATCCTTGATATTTTATTGACTCGAAACAAAGGAGATTTGTGTTTTAATAGATTTTTCAGATTCTTAATTATTGCCAGTAGTGGCTGAGTAGTCATCGTGGCTGGCGTTGTTTCTGTCGAATAGTGGGTTCGAGTCCTTGGGCCATTAAAGACTCGCCGTGTAAAAAGGATGATGTAGGTAGAAGGTCCATTTCCTCATGTTGATGTAAAAGTTCGGAGAGTGGAGTGTCTCTTGTCCGGGTGGTTCAGAATTAAGATGTGTGCTTTCATAAACTGTTTTAAATTTTTCTAATGGAATATTTGAATTTTTTAGAAAGTTTATTATTTTTAAAGAGGTGAACTACATCCAACTATTTTTTATTGGATTTTTGTAATAACACAGTGGAGGAAAAAGGTGTGCTTTTCTTTCTTACACGGCTGATTTATACAGCAAGTAATACAGAAAACAGTCAAGGAATTAAAAACTCTTCGTGCCTATATACTTATTTCAAATGAACTCTAGTCATTATTATGAATTTTTTGTTGTTTTAATGTACTACATATTCATAAAGCTGCAAACAAACGTGGACTAAGTGATAATACAGAAAGAAAGAAAAATATTAGATATAACATGTATTTTTAAAAGTAAATCTAACATTTCGACTATAAGCTGAGAAAAAGACAAATGTTACTTAAATTTCCATCATTCTTTCTGAAAAGTAACTCAAATAATTTTGTGGCTACGATAGCCAAGTGGTCAAGGTCCCGAACGCGTAACTTTCGTTGCTTCTGTCGAGTCGTAAGTTCGAGTTCTAGTACTGCTGTAGGCCGGTTTAGCAGAGGTATAATTCTGTCCAGGCTCAAATTCTTACGTTGGTGTTGTATGAAAGCCTGGTGAGCAGAGTAGCCAGCTCGGGTGTCGTTTCGTCTCTTCAACGCGATTCAAAGTTACGAAGTCGGTCGCCACTGGTGACGTTCCTAATAAAAAATTCGAATTGTAAGATGTGCCGCCTTTAGCTTTTTAAGCTGGTGTCAGAACAAAATCGTGAAAAAAGCGGCGTTTGGGAGCTTTAGTTAATAATTGCATTCGCTTCGAGATCGGAAAAAGCGTCCATTTGCATATACAGTGAAATACGATTAACACGAAAACGCTCAAGGTGAAATATAGGTTAACACGAAATAATACAATGATCCCGACAAACTACTAAGTATTTTATCATTTTTTCTCTTAACACGAAAAGATTTTTTCTTTTTCTTTTTTTGGGAATGAACAAGATACGGAAAACACCAGCCGCGTAAGAGAGATTTAAGAGGGGTGTGTATAATGAAAGAGAGGTGGTTTCACATGTTTCGCAGGAAGAAGACTAACTTGGCTTTGAAATACCCTCGGAATAGCCTGTGACACAAGCCAATTTTGTTTATCTAAGCTACTTTCACCCCTGCAAACTCTCCATCCCTAAATGAATGAGTGAGTGAGTGAATATTAACGTCGCACTGTCTTAGCAATACGAGGGCTTTTGGCGACGGTCCGCGTAATTTTGAACCATGGTCAAGTGACGCGGACGACACCTGAGCTGGCACCCCCCTCTCCTAACTACCATACCACACCAACGGGAGGACGTTTGAGCTCTCGACAGATTTAACGTGCATTTCTCCCCTACACGGCGGGTCTTTAGTGGTACTGGGATCAAACTCATGACACGCTAGATCCCTAAATGAAAGGAATG